CGGAAGAATGTCATCAAATGCGTTTGTTTGAATTCTGCATCTTTTGACTCGCATGCGCTGGAGGGGTGGTAGCTGATGGTCCTATGAGATTATGCGGTGTATTTACAGAGCAAAATGCATATTGAATGAAATGTTTTCTGTAAAATAAGATTAGTTAAATAAAATAATATTCACAAAGTTCTACTGAAGCCTCGAGATCGCAGCGAGCTGCAGAAACAGCCGTATATGCATGCAGAACAGCTGGTGAGTACAATTACCACTATAACAGCATTTTAATGTAATTAATGAATTTCATGGGCCATTAATAATTCATTTAAATTCAAATATAGCCTTCCTTAAGTTATGCATGCATCTTAACAGATTTGCTGCATTTTATTGTCAACTTCTCCAGCAGCAGCTCGCCGCCGGCTCGGTCTGGTGTGTTTGTCTTTTGATTTTTGTTTGTGCAGAGGGCCTCACACAACCCTCTTTGTTTTATGCAGCCATCCCTCTTCTCCTAAACCCTAAACACTAAACCCTAAACCCTAAACCCTAAACCTTTAGCCAGCCCAGCCAGCCAAAGTATATTTCTGGGGGTTTCTTCATATTCAGATATCTTCCTTTCTTTGTTTGTCTCAGGTGTACATACACCGCAGCAACTCCGTAAGCATACACCGCAGCAGCTTCCTTCGTTTGTTATTGTTAGTTGAACACACGCTCAAGTACAGCGCGCTGTGTTCACCGAATCTGCTCCGGATGCGCTAACAGAAACTGCAGCAGAAATAGCTGCTGCTGTCGCTGCTGCACTAGCAGCAGCAGCAACAGTAGCCGCAGCAGCTGCTGCAGTTGCTACAGCGTCTCCGCTGTATGTTTTCTTTTTTCTGTTTTTTAAATGACAAGTTTGCGTGGGATGGGACAAAGCAGCACCAATTGCAGCAGCGGCAGCAGCAACAGCAACAGCAACAGCAGCAGCAGCAACAACAACGGCAGCAGCAACAGCATCATTAGCAACATCAACAGTAGCGCCATAGGCAGCAGCGAGCAGCACAACAACAGCATCAGCAGCAGCAACAACAGCAGCAGCAACAACGACAACAACAGCAACAACAGCAACAGCAACAGCAGCAACAGCAACAGCAGCAGCAGCAACAGCAGCAGCAGCAACAGCACAAGCAGCAGTCCATCAGGAAAGACTGCATTATTCAGGTGTACAGACAGCTTGCACAGAGAGTTACTCTCCGCCCTTCTCACAGGCGCCATCACTGCTGCTGTCTTCAACCCCTGGGATAAAGGTGCTGCTGCTGCTCTTGCTGCTGCTGCTGCTGCTCTTGCTGATGCTGCTGTTGCTCGTGCTGCTGCTGCTGCTGGTGTATTGGGCTTTCTCCTGCTACGGTGCTGTTTCGTCTGCCTGATGCTATTGCTGCAGCTGCCGGTGCTGCTGCTTTTGCTGCTGTCCCTATTGGTGCACAAGCAGCGGCCACAGCGTGCTGCTGTAGCTCTTGTTTGCTGCTGCTGCTGCTGCTGTTGGGGTGCGGCGATTGCCCATCAGCACGAAAAAACACTCTGCGCCTGGTGTATATACATGTATATATGTATATATATATATATATATATAAAGTATAATATATTTATACATTATATTTATATAGTATTTTACATATATATATATATATATAAAGTATATAATATATTTATACATTATATTTATATAGTATTTTACATATATATATATATATGTATATATCCATATATGCATATATTATTATGCCAATGATGTATATGTTAAATATATAAACGCACATACCTCAATTATCATATATATATATATATATATATATATATATATTATATGCGTGTGCATGTATATGTATAATATACATCTACATGTATACATACGTAAATAAATAAACAAACAAACAAATACATCTATTATATATATGTTACACAAATATTCCATTGTATGAATATATCCTTCTGTTTACAGTTTTGCTGCATTTGCTTGTATTTGGGGTGTATGTGCAGCTTTATACTTCAGCAGCACAACTGCACGACCGTTGTTATCTGCAGAGAACTGGGGAAACCCTTTTCGCTGCACTTTTCAGGCATTTGCAGGCCGCTTCCTTAGCACAGGTCTTTACTTCCCCTTAGGTAAACAGGGCTTAGGGTTTAGGGTTTAGGGTTTAGGGTTTAGGGTTTAGGGTTTAGGGTTTAGGGTTATGCATATATTATTATGCCAATGATGTATTTGTTAAATATGTAAACGCTCATACCTCAATTATCATATATATATATATATATTATATGCGTGTGCATGTATATGTATAATATACGTCTACATGTATACATAAGTAAATGAATAAACAAACAAACAAATACATATATTATATATATGTTACACAAGTATTCTATTGTATAAATATATCCTTCTGTTTACAGTTTTGCTGCATTTGTTTGTATTTGGGGTGTATGTGCAGCTTTATACTTCAGCAGCACAACTGCACGCCCGTTGTTATCTGCAGAGAACTGGGGAAACCCTTTTCGCTGCACTTTCCAGGCATTTGCAGGCCGCTTCCTTAGCACAGGTCTTTACTTCCCCTTAGGTAAACAGGGTTTAGGGTTTAGGGTTTAGGGTTTAGGGTTTAGGGTTTAGGGTTTAGGGTTACGGTTAGGGAATATTGAAGCTTGCGGTCTAGGGTTTAGGGTTTCGGGAGTAGGGTTTTTTAGGGCCTTCGGTTTAGGGTTTAGGGTTTACAGCATGCGCATAGGGCTTTGCACGGATAGTCTGGTTTACAGCGCAGGGTTTGCATTCAGGGTTTAGGGTTTAGGGTTTAGGGTTTGAGGAGGTGGAGGCTGCATGCATTGTTTGTTTGTTTGTTGTTAGAAAGTTATTTCTTTCGTTTATTTCAATGGGGTATTTCTTCACTGCAACATTCAAACGAAAGTCTACTCATCACAGACAATAAGCAGCACCAACAACAGCAACAGCAGCAGAAGCAGCAGCAGCAGGGGCAGCAATACCAGCCACAACAGCAGCAGCAGGAGCAGCAGCAGCAGCAGGAGCAGCAGCAGCAGCAGGAGCAGCAGCAGCAGCAGGAGCAGCAGCTCGAGTCAGGGGGTGCGTTTATTATCTCCGAGGGGCCCCCCAAGGAAGATCAGCAGCTAGGTATTCTTAACAAGGTTTCAGGTGTATGTACACTGCAGCCTGCTGCTGGATTTGTATCGGGTATATTTGCTGGAACTGTTTGTTCATTTCTTAGCCATCCTCTGACTGTTACGAAGTATATCTGCTGGAATAACAACATCAAATTCTTTGCTGCATTAACAACACTCCTGCAACAAGGCGGTTAGTCATGCTGCTGCTGCTGTTGCTACTGCTGTTGCTGCTGTTGCTACTGCTGTTGCTGCTGCTGCTGTTGCTACTGCTGTTGCTGTATCTGTTGCTGTATCTGTTGCTGTATCTGTTGCTGCTGCTGTTGCTGTATCTGCTGATGCTGCTACTGTTGTTGCTGTATCTGCTGTTGCTGCTACTGTTGCTGTATCTGCTGATGCTGCTGCTGTTGCTGTATCTGTTGCTGCTGCTGCTGCTGTTCTTGGTGGTGTTGCTGCTGCTGCGCGCTGTATATGTAGTTGATGTGTAGTGTTCCCTCACTGGTGTTAGAAATAGCCTTTTATTTGCGTTTAAGATAAGCTCATATATAAATATATAAATAAATACATATATATATATATATATATAACTTGAATATAGAAGAAATATGTTCATTAATAAGTTTGTTGTATGTTGAGGTGTACAGGGATAAAAGGGTTTTACAGAGGGTTCAGCGCGACAATAGGAAGAGACAGTTTGTTTGGTGGTGTATACACCTCAAGCCGTCTCTTGTTTATTTCTAGTTGGAATGGAGACAGGAGCAAAGTGCAGCACTCAAACGAGGAAGGGGGCCCCCCTGCTGATCTGCTGCTGCTGCAGCAGCAGCAGCAGCCGCAGGGGAAAGAGGGTGACGCCCCTGCAGCAGCAAAAAGAGAAACTGTGATAAATGTCTTTGCTGTAAATGCTGCTGCTGCATGCATTGCTGTCCTCGCCTCTTCTCCTCTTAATTATGTACGCAATGTACAGCTAGCAGCCCCAACGCATGCAGAGGCCCCTTGCATGCGCTCTGTACTCCGAGGGCTCTGGGGGACCTCTCCTGCTGCTGCTGCCTCTGCTTCTGCTGCTGCTGCTGCTGCAAACATTAACAACAACAACAGCAGCAGCAGCAGCAGCTGCAGGGTGATCTTTCGGAGGCTTAGCAGCCGCCTCCTTTGGGGTTGGGGAACAATGCGTGCTGCATCAGGGATGGCGTTTGGCTCTGTGGTGTATGATCTGTGCACACGTATCAGTGTACATACACCCGAAACAAACAACTCTTAAAGAGACGTAGACACCTCTAGGTGTACATACACCTCGAGGTGTACACGCAGGTGTACATACACCTCAAGGTGTACATACACTTCATAGTGTACATACACCTCAAGGTGTACATACACCTCAAGGTGTACATACACTTCCCAGTGTACATACACGTTAAGGTGTACATACACTTCAAGGTGTACATTCACCTCGAGGTGTACAGGCACCTCAAGGTGTGCATACACCTTAGGTGTTCATACACTTCACAGTGTATATACACCTCGAGGTGTACATACACCTCGAGGTGTACATTCACCTCAAGGGGTACAGGCACCTCAAGGTGTGCATACACCTTAGGTGTTCATACACTTCACAGTGTATGTACACTTTACAGTGTACATACAGCTCAAGGTGTACACGCACCTCAAGGTGTGCATACACCTTAGGTGTTCATACACCTCAAGGTGTACATACACCTCAAGGTGTTCATACACCTCAAGGTGTTCATACACCTCAAGGTGTACATACACCTCAAGGTGTTCATACACTTCACAGTGTATATACACTTCACAGTGTACATACACCCCAGCAGGGGACTCCAACGCAATTTATTTTTAGACGAATTCCACACCAAATTATTTAAGCGAAGTTTGTGACAAAATTTAAATTATATATTTCATGCATTATTTACTTTATATTATATATAATGCACAATGTGCTATATCTATTATACGCATTTATAAATATTATCTATTGTATACT